GGAAAAATTATCATTCTGTTTTAATTCAATTAAAGCTCAAAGAAATAATACTTTTACATAGTAAAATAATAGTTTAAAAAATTAAAAAAAAAAAAAAAACTCTCGTAAATGAGATTTAACAAAACGATCAAATCCATAATTAACTCATATATTTTTCCAATATTCTAATCAAATGAAAAATAAAGTTGATTGAATGGCAATACAATAAGCTATCAGCTCTTATCATGTAAGAACAAGATTCAAATCCAATTCAGATTTCCATAATGTCTCATGAGTACAGAGATGCATGCTATTCCATTCTTTAACCATTTGGCTGATCTCATTGGCCTCCAATAATTGGATAATTTAAATTAATAATTAAATTATATGAATTTTAATGTTTTCAAGCATGTTAAAAGCAAAGCAAGAATATGCACTAAAAAATCCTATTTTTGTAACTATTTTTATGATTTTTTAGTTCCTAGATGTCATAGCTCTAGTTATAAGTTACGTAGAACTCTTAAGACAAAAACGTGGAGATTCAAATACCATTAACAAGCCTTTCTGAATAATCTTTTTACTTTGAATAAGGAATCATGATGCAACAATACCAAGAACATCCTGTTAAGACAACTTATTGTATATGGCATATTAAAACACAAATTAAATGTCACATAAAGCATCTTAGCAGATGTTTATACCATTTCACATCAGTTTCTTTTTTGGATAGTAAAATATATTAAATGCACAGTTATGTACATTGTGCTTGATAGTGTAAAATTAAAAAACTATCAATATTAGAAAACCACTAAATTAAGAATAATTTTAGATGTTTATTATAGCAGTTGACTGCAGAAAAGCCAGCTCCCAACCCCCTTCACTATCCAGCTCGCCAATGGTCACTACACCAACAACACAGAAGAAACTATCATGCACATCCTCACCAGCCTTTACCCTTCGAATAACCCAAAGCAGAATGACAATACAGAAATGGTCATCCAGAGTTCTATACTCACCCCATCTAATACAGACAATGACTACAACTTCACTTACATCAAGGTTTCGAATGCCATCAGTTCACGCACTAATAACAAAGCCCCAGGTCTTGATGACATAACCACTAGGATGATAAAACACATATTTGAGGCCAATCCTATAATGTATGTAATTCTCTTCAATATCTGCTTGAACACTGGCCTTTTTCCTACTCAGTGGAAAAAGACTAGTGTCAAATTGATTCCCAAACCCACCAGCACTAACACTTACACCATCAGGTCGTTAACTACATCCACCAGACTAAACAAAACAATCAGCATACCATAATTATCACTATTGACTTGAGGTGCCTTTGAGCATGCCTGGTGGCCTTTTTTTTTTATCTTTCACACATTACATGCTCATCAATGCCCTCAAAATCTTTACAAACTTCTTCAGTCCTATCTTAGCAACAGGAGTGCAGGTGTTTATACAACACAAAATAACAGTCATACCCATCACTTGAGACTGTCCTTGGAGATCCAGGTCTGGTCCTGGTCTCTGGAACATAGCCTATAACTCTATTCTGCACTTAAACAACACCCTGCCTCCTGGCTGCCATATACAGGGCTATGCAGATGACACAATTATCTTTGCTTCACACAGGAACAGTGGATGCTTACAGGACATATGCAACCACATTATGAATAACATTCACCAGTGGAATATTAAGCATAGGCAACCCACTAACACAGACAAATGCAAAAGCATGATAGTTGGTAGGAACATGCCACTTGTCAGGAAGTTTACCCTTCAAATACATGCTCACAGAATAAAGCAAACAACGTAAATTAAATATTTAGGTGTTATTCTTGAAGAGAAGCTTCACACCCCAATTCAAATACATCACGGACAAAGCCTAAAAAGATGGCCAACACCCTCATAGTATTGCTAGGAACAAATAGGCCTTGGCCCTAATGCTACTAAGCTTATTTACAGGATGCAATTCAGCTAGCACTCCTCTATTCTCTCAGGTTAAAAAGAAGTCAAACTTCAGACTTCTTTTTAACCTCTCATATCTTGTCTATGTTCTCAATACATCTCATCAGAATTATTTCACACCCCACAGCACATGCTATACTATCCTAATGTGTGTATGTGTGGAGCCAAAAGATCTTTTGGCTTCTTCTTCCTTTTTCAACTATGTGTATATTTTTTTACAAGTCATGTTGGTTTAACTGTCACTATCTCAGGACTGAAGAAGGGCGTTAAGCCCAAAATGCATATCCATTCACACCAATAAAACAACCTTTTTCCTCTGAAAGTGTTCCTGTGTGATATGTTCCCAACGGCAATATTGTGCTAAGAAAATACATATAACAGAGAACAACAAGCAACCAAGATTTGCAACTGTGTTCAGTTTTATTAGTATTAAGTAGATATAAATCTTCTTACTAACAGCCACTTGGCACTAACTTCTACACTTAACTATTCATGGCAGCACTCAATTATTGGTGTTCGCTCGAAGGGTCTAAAAGAAAACCGGGTTTTCTTTTAGACCCTTCGAGGGACTTCAGCCTTGCAGCCTAAAAACTGTACGCCAATATCAAACATAGAGGGTACTGTAGCCATATGTACACCCTTTAGAGGAATCCTACCTTTCTCTACTGTCTATCTCCTCTCTCTTCTTCTTCCCCCCTTTCCCTTACCCTCTTTTCTGTCGGCTAAACACTTCGTGTATGGCCAATGTCTTTCTTGTATGCATGTGTGTATAGCAGTTGTCTTACAAGAGTCAGATCCATATCTTGCTAACCTGAATTATAATAAGCAAGCAGTATATGTATGAAGCAAAATCATTACAAATAAATCTTTGGAATACTGATGACAAAATCATTAATACTTAATGTTTAAAAAACTTTTTTCAACTCTAGATAAAAAATGAATATAAATATTAAATTCTTAAAAAAATGAACAAAGTAACAAAGAAACTATAAAATAGAAATTTTTCTATTATTAGAACATTGACAAAACATTTTTAGAAAACTAATATTTTGAAATAAGAAAAAACTAAGTAACTTGATTATTAAATTAATAAAAAATTGAATTCATTATAAAATGAACAAAAATTTTTTAAACTAATAAATTTAAAAAAATTTTTTAAAATTAAATACATAGAAAAAGTCATATAAGGACTACAGTTTTCTGCCCCTCCAGATAACAAGCAAGCCCAAAACAAAAAAACAAGTAAAATACCATATAACAGAAACACACACAAAAAAGTTACGCATGGTATACATTTCATTTACAAACATTTTTAAACTGAGAGAAAGTAACATGTAAAAAAGAATCAAAATTAAATATACTTTGCAAAATACAATAAAAATAAAAACATTGTGAGATTGCTAATCTGTAAAATGGCATATAAATATATGAAGAATATTGTAAAGTTCTTTGGGGGTATTCTTAAGCAGAGCCATCTGGACTGTATAAAATGATTAAAATATCTGAAGTATAAAAGCTGGTCAAAATATTTAATTCTTTCTTTAGAAGCCAGAAGGCCTAGTTTAGACCTGGCAACATTTGGAGATTGAGTGTAGAGGAGGTTACAAAATTTATTTAAAAGCAGATATATTTTATTGAGTTCTTTGGAAATTTTGTTCAAAAGTGTGTGAGCTACCATGGCCCAAATTGGCAAACCATAGTTGACAACAGATTGGAAGTTTGCAAAGAAAACAGAGCAAATAATGTTTTCTGAAGAAATGAGTTTACAGAAACACCAAAATATACCCCAGTGTATGGCAAGAGATTTTATTATTTTATCTTTGTGATTTTTAAACATGAGTCTGTTATCCCAAATTATACCAAGGTCATTGACTGAAAAAATGTATTTGATATGCATGTTAATAGAGAATGTAGGTTGAGGAATATTGCATAATAAAGAGTAGCTTATGATGATGGTTTTCTGTAGATTAATTTTTAAATTGGCTTTAGCAAGTAGAGTTGTTAGAAGTTGCAGATCAGACTGAAGTATATCAGGATTGTAATTAACTAGTTTGATATCATCAACATAGTTAATTATTGCTGATTTAAGTTGAACTAAAATATTGTTAATATAAACTGAAAAAAGCAATCCACTTAAAATTGAACCTTGTTGAATATTACATGTTGGAGCAAAATTGGAAAAGTCATAATTGCCTAAATTTAATTTAATTTTGTAGTTACAAGATAAGAATTAATTATTTAACCAGGAGTAAAAAGCAGGGTCTAAGTCAAAATAATCACAGAGCATAGAAAGAAGGATATTAGGAAAAACGAAATCAAAGGCTTAGGTAATACCAAAATATACTATATAAATGGGTCACTTTTTTCAAAGTTGTCAATAATTATAGATAGAGTTTCAAGAAGGTTGGTGGAGGTCGAATGATAACAGAGACCACAGTGCTGGATAGATAAGAGGCTAGATGTGGATTGTATTTATCACAAGATTTATTACCCAAATTTCATAGATCTTTAGCGTGGTAGGCGACAGAGTGATAGGGTGAAAAGATTTTGGGATGGCTATAAAAGAAGAAGAATACCAGTGTTTCAGAATAAAGTTATGTTGAACAAATATAGTAAATAATCTTGAGAGAACTGCTGTAGCTACTGATTTTAACATTTATAAAATATGGTGGGATAGCATCTGTACTAGAGTAAGACATATTTAATGTTTCTATGGCTTTGGAAACTTCAGAAAAAGAAAGAAAAGAAAAGAAAAAAAAAAAAAACGGTAATATGTATAGGATAATGAAAGAGCAGTTTATAATTGGCAAATTGTAGAATATTAGTAAGCCTATTTTTTAAATTGTTGTAAACAGAGTTGATGGTCCAGAACAGTGAATGACTTACATGAGTGGACGTCTAGAAAAATTTGGAATAAACCCCAAAAGGTTTGAGGATCAGTAGCGAAAACAGAGGTAATTTTGTTAAAGTTAAATAATCTAGTTTTAAAATTTTATATCAATCAAAATTAGCTGAGTGTTAATTTAACACAAATAAGAGCTTACCATCTTCAGAACCTGTCATAATTATAGGTAATTCTGGATGAAAACAAACTGCAGATATATTCTGTGCATGTCCTTCTAATGTCTGTACACAAGTTTTATTCTAAATAAAAATCAATTTATGGTATATTAATTTAAATTTTTATTATTTAATTCAAAATATTTATTTTACTAAAATATAAAATCTAGAAAATTTAAAGATTATGAATAGAAATATCAAAAAACAAAATATTTAATTGAGTAGTAATTCTTAATATAATTGATTTATAATAGAATAATATATAGTTCATCATTTGCAATTATAATAGAATTCCAGTTATCCAAGAAAGTATGGACTGAGAGTATCTTGGATAATCAAATATTCATGTAACATACGTTTGGAAAATTATTAAATAAATTGGATTTGAATGCATTAACATGTATGATGTATTCTATTTTTAGGTCAGTTCTATGACTTAAACTATACAAAAATACATTTTAAATTTTATTTATAACTATTTATTAAAACAAATATAAATTTATAAATTTCAATTAAAATTTCTTTAAGCTTTCTTAAAATCCATATTATTGTGGAAAAATCACCAAAGTAAATTCTTTTAAAACTTCTAAGGCTGCATTCTAGTAGTATACATCCTCTGATCAAGATTCAGGAAATAAACTGTTCTATACTATTTTTCTTTTCTTTATTTTAAGTACTCCTCCATAATTCACTTCAGATAATACTGCAACTTGATTAATTGGAACTCTACTGTATTTTTGCATATTATTGTTTTATGTTGTAAATATTAACTTACATAATATTGTAAAATATATTAATAATTTATAATAAAACTTTTACCTGATAATCCCAAATTTTTACAAGGCGATCATCTGCTCCTGAAATAAGATATGGCTTATCACCTCCATGATAATAATCTATACAATTGACACCCTTTTCATGTCCTTCTAATGTGAAGTTAGGAGAACTTGAACCAAGCTGCCACACCTAACAAAATTAATGATAATATATTTTCTAAAAATTAAAATATTCAGCTGGAATAAATAATTACAAAGCAAAGTAATAATCATTTCTATTCTTAAATAAAATTCAGTAACAGAAAATAAATATATGAAAATTCAAGCATGGATATTTGTTGATAACATAACTACATAATAAAATCTCAAATTATCTGAAATTTCAGACAATTAAATATCAAAAAAATATAAACTAAAAAATTTTTTCAAGATTAAGAAATTGCATAGAATATCTTTTAGAATGAATGCATCACTGTATTTCATTTATTTTTCAACATCACAAAACTTGTCTCACTTAGGCAATTTTCATATTATGATAAATTTTCAGAGTATTTAAATTTTTAATTTTTTATTTTGAAAGACTAAAAAATTAATATACTAAAAAAATCTAATACTGATTTTCATGTGATAAGTCACATTTTCTTCTGGAGAAACTTGAAGAAGCATATAAATAAAAAACAAATTTTAGACTGTGGTTCACATAGTAGTAAATGTTTGTTTATTTATAACTCTTCTAACAAATCACAATACAGCCTCTATGTTTTTTTAAGTCATAAAATTCAGAATTGGGATTAAAGAAGTTTATAAAATTGTTTAGTATTTTAAACTAAATAGTTAATATATTACAAATTAAGAGTGTAAAAATGCATTAAACTTTTATTTTTCATCACAAGAACATTGAGATAACTTGTAAAATAGTATTAACAAATACTCTTCATATAGTTTACAAACTTGAAAAGATGCAAAATAATTGCTGGTATATTTAAATAAAATAAAATATCTACACTAAAAAATTACCTTTACTGTTCTATCAAGTGAAGCACTTGCAAAAGTATTATTATCCTTTGGGTTTATTACAATTTGCATGACATAATGTGTATGTCCTTCAAATACTTGAGTACAACTCCACTGTTTTTCCCAGTTCCATAACTTAATTAGCATATCATCTAAAATTAAATAATTATGATAATATAAGTTAAAAAATTTTCAAATATGCTTATATGTTATAAGAACTGTATAAACATTAAAAAATTACAGTATTCTAGAATATTAATTTAAAGGCAAAATTCATTTAATATATATAAAGTGTTCTACAATTTTGGTATCACATACTGAGTTGTAATAAAATTCAATTTGTTCATCATTATATTTGAAATGTAAACAAGATTTCTAATCATCAGATATATATTGACTATTTATAATAATGATATAACATGCATTATATGCTGCAAATGTTTGTAATTTTGAATCTTCTCTATATATTATACATCAATATCCTCATATCTTCAAATAATATTTGAAGGCTTTGATCTACACAAATAAAATCAAAAGGAGAGATCATGATTATTTTTGTTACAGGTTTTTAGACTATTTTATTCAATGTCTGGAAAAAGAATCAGCATTTAATTATTTACAATAATAATAAATTTCAAATTTATGGAATTGTCTAAAGTCAAAACTCCATAAATTTAATTCAAATTAACACGTTCACGGCATTACGAGGCACATGTGACTTGTATGGACATGTCTAGTTAGGGCGACAGACATACAGTGGTACCTCAGGATACGAAATTAATCCGTTCCGAAACTGAGATCGTATCATGAAAATGTCGTAAGGTGAATCATTTTTCCCCATACGATTACATGTAAAACCAAATAATTCGTTCCAACACGAAAAACACACTCAAATTAAAGCTAAGTAGTACATTTAAAAAAATAACTATAGTAAGGAAAACACTGAAAAATGCATTTTGTAGTCATAAATGTATAAATAACCGTAATAAAATAATAATTGTTAAAAAAAATGTAGTTTTATTTGCACTTTACCTTTGAGGATAGACGACGGTGGAGGTGTAAACTGGTGGCGGAAGAGAGGGAGAAGGGAAATGATACTAAAACTTAACTTACATAACATAATGTAACAATAACTTTAAAAAATTAGTGTTAAGTTATTTTTATCTTTTCTGTTTCATATTTTTTTTTAAATTTTTTATTCACTGCTTTTTTGTTTTCTTTCTTCACTTCCACCAGCACTTTCACTGGATAGAGGTCACTTGGTAAAATATCTATCCAAAGAGGTTTGGCTTTGTGTACTTTTAAAATGTTTCTAAAATGACTTAGGCAAAGGTCATTACTCTGAGCAGCAATACGGCCAACGTGAATCTTTTTGGGATGTTTCTTTTCAATAAAATCAGTCACTTTCTGATAATACCTCAAGATTTCCTTTATCGAGCGAGATCCTTCCATGACGAAGCAAACATGCGGACTGAGACCGATGAACAGAAGTGAATAAAAAATGGCGCTGCGAACTAATGTAACATCGTATGGTGAGTTTTTGTTCGTGTTGTGGAGCAAAAATATGTTCGAATTTCATGTTGTATCCTGGAAATTTCGTATGCTGGGACGTTCGTATCCTGAGGTACCACTGTAATTGCTTGTTTTTCCATGGGGTGGTGCATATGTTTTGATAACATAATTCTACAAACACCATATTTGATATATCAATATTATTTTATTAGGTGCAATAAAATATATTAATTTAATAGTACAGCTTGTAGGGTCGTACTATTAATTCGTAGGGTGACTCGTGCTGCCCTGTATTAAAATAGACTACAAGTCACCCATGACTTGTAATGCCCAGTAGCTGCCTAAATGTTTATCTACTGACGCTGTGAACATGTTAAGATAAATATATTCATTAACAAAAATATTCATATACAGATATTAAAGAACAAAAAAAAAAAATGTATTTTTGAAATATTATAAATGTATAAACTGCTAAATAAATTTCATTAAAAGTTTTGATTTATATTGAGAAAATATCAGATAATAAATATACTAATTTTTATTTTATCAAACAATTTTATTCAAAATTCTATTCAAGTTTATACATGGTTTTCATAAGTCATATGCCATAAGAGATTATGCATAGAAGCATCAGGTGATTGTAGGCAAAACATTAGGAGCAAGTGTATAGTGTACTGGTTACATGATATATCATTCTGAATCTGCAATATAATCAAATAAATAGTAGAAAATAAAATATTGCCATTGAGGTCTGTCATTTTTTGGCACCCCATCAAGTTTAGTAAACTACAGTATCTTCAGCAAAGCTGGAAATATTTAAATATTTACTATAATCAACAAAATCACTTAGTTGCTGTACAATAACTTGGTTTCTGAACAAGCTACTCAGCAAGAGTCAGTCAGAGATTAGGGAGAGACAGACAGTCAACTCCATATACTTCCTGTATTAAAGTAAGTTGACGACCCAACTAATCAAGGATAGGACTACTGATTCAGAAGTTAGTGATACAAAGATCACCTTGAGTCATTTGATATCACAACACAAACCATTGATGATATTATTATTCAAATTAAATTTCAATACCCATGCGGGTAAGACACTACTTCCATTTTCAGTACAAATCACAATTGAATTTAAATCAAATTAATTAATAAAAACCAAATTAATTGACATTGGAAATATTTGTTTTGGTTTGATTGTATAATATTTGTACAAGATTGTCTCTTAAAGTTATATTTGTTTCAGAAAGAAATAAATAACAATATTTTTAAATATCTGACTTTAAAAATTTCTATCTATAAATTACATATATGAATAAGATGTGGATACAATCAGCCTCCACCTCCAAACAGCAGCCTCTTTCCCAGGAAATTTCTTTTTGAACAAAAATGAATACAAAACCTCCAAATATTAGCCCTGACCATTAAAAATCTTATTTTAACCTCTCAACAACAGCCACTGCTTTCAAAATGATGTGCAGAAAATAATAATGCACTATACAAAATTAGTCATTATCAATAAAATGATTAGTTAGACTACTGACATTTCATATGATTAATAAACTTGGTTGTAAATGTAAAAAATAAATTTTTCTTAAAATATCAAGAAATAATTACATTTAATATTGCAGACACTTTGTAAAAAGTTCTCAAATGTGCAAACTACAAAACACAAAACATTAATCAACCTTTTATCATAGGCTACAACTTATGTTAAAACATATAAAGAAGAAAGTGTCCTCTGCCAGCAGTAAAAATTAAAACATTTCAACATCAAGGATTACTTTTTAATTTTTTAGGAATTTGAAAATTTTTTTTAATTCTCACCACTGGAAAAAAACACTTTTTTACATATTTTAATTTAGGTCATAGTCTACAATAAATGATTGATCTACATGTGTTTTTAGGAGTTCTCTGCACATTAGAGGACTTTGTAGAAATAAGAAATTAACTTTATTCAATTTATAAAACCTCTGCAATTTTCAGCTCATCTCCCATTAATGGCCATCTTCAAGTATCAGCCATTTTTTATGTTTATGTCAGGGGCAGTTGTTCAGCAGTTTGACTGTATAATAATTTTTTTTGGTAGATGTAATTAATTATTTAAACTAGAAAAAACACTTACCACTGGAAGTCAATATAAAAGGCTGAGTTGGGTGTACAACAATAGAACGAATGTAATCTGAATGTGCTTCAAATACATGAACTCTTTCTAAAGTATTATAATTAAAAACCCGTATTTGCATATCATCCTATAAAATTTATAATAAATAGAATTAAAAGTTATATTCTGAAATTATTAAAAATAAAAAAGTAATAATAATACTTACAGAACCAGTAATAATCCAATTTTTCCTAGATACAAATTTAGCAGCTCTAACTGGTAAATCACAAACTTCAAAAGATTTCACTAATTGCTGAAAATTATTTTAATATAAAAATTATTTAAAACTGCATAAAGTTTTAAATATATATTAAAAATATTATCAATAAATTTTTAAGTAAATTATATTCAAAGAATCTATAAAACTAAATAAACAATTTACTTCAAAATGTTCATTTGACACTCCATTTTAAATCAATGGTATCAGTAAATGATCTTAAAATCTTTATCAACTGGTTTCTAGACTTTAAAAGCCATATTTAAATATAATTCATAGTTCATTTATTTACTTCATAATTTAAAAACTTAATTTAAATAATTTAATATAAACAAAAACTATGTAAAAATAGAAAATAATATGTTTAATACTTGTGATTCATGATTCCAGACATGAACATTCCCATTATACAAACTTGCAAGCATCCATGGTTCAGAAGGATGAAGATCTACACATTTGACTCTATCTGAACGTGCTAATAATTTTCTTTTTACATCCAATTTTAGAGGCTAAAATGTAAATAAAGGTATAACTTTTTATAAATATTCATATATATTTTAATATTTCATAAAAAAATCAATACTAACTAATTTTTGGAAAATAAGATTTATATTTTTAATAATTTATATTATTAGAAATAAATATACAATCAAATCTATTTATTGTAAGCACAATATTTGTTATCAGTTGTCTGATATTATCATAATTAGTATATAAGTTAGTGTAAAAAACATTGATCATCTTCAAGTTCCATCCCTACATTACATCATCTTAAAAATGCTACTCTGATTAAGAGGTCAATATTTATTTTGATTAGAACAACATTTTAACTTAATTTAAACTTAAAGTGTTGTTCTAATCATTTTTTCAACATATAAGACAGTTCTGCCAATGTTTGAAAATTTGAATGTCAGTTACATACAGCTGAATAATCAGAGTTGTATATTAAAGCCAAACAACTGCTGAATTATATTGGGATATATTACTACTACTGTTATTAATTAAATGCAAAGTAATTTGGCCCCAAAGGCAGGTGTTAGGTAAATTTGCTAAATTTAATAATTATAAATAAATTAATATTTTAATAATTAATTTAGAAGGTTCCAAAAGAAAAGCAGCAGCCAAAGAGGGACTTCAACCTGCTTATCATGTGGTTGTGTTGCCAGTTACACCACACAGACTTTCATCTGATTCTCACTTCCAGAACTTATTTAGATATAACTATACTCAATAACTTATTAAAATATTAATTTAATTATAATTATTAAATTTAGCAAAGAATGGCACCTAACGCCTGACTCTAGTGCCAAATTACTTAACGTTTAATTAATAATAGCAGTAGTAATGTAACTCAATATAATTTGGCAATCGTTTGGCATTAATATATAACTATCAGATTTGGATGTTTATATCAGAGTTGTATCTGAAGATGACCCAAACAGACTCAATCATCATTTAATACCAAAAATAAAAGTTGATTGATTAGATTAGTGTTTGACACGCATCATATAAATTAAAATGAACTTAGAATATTGCTTAGAGCAATGGTTCCCAATTAGTGGTATGCGTACCCCAGGGGTACGCGAAATTGCATGAAGGGGTGCACGCAGCAATCTAAAATCAGTCAATTTAAAATTTAAATACATGAGATGAAGCAATCAAAAAAATAATGGGTGGACCATCAAAAATTCGGCAATTTACAACATGATGTGGAATGCACAAATTCGTTTATTTATAACTAAAAATATTCTCGAAATTTCATCAAAAAAATGCATTTGTGACAATACCTAAATGAAATTCTTACGCAAGAAACAAAAATTGTACAATTAACACAATTTGTGTTAATTGTACAATTATCATTATTATCATGTCAGCGAAGCGGCAATAAAATATTTACTACCATTTTGCACAACATACCTCTGCGAGAGCGGATTTTCGGCCATGACAAACATGAAAACTAAACATCGTCACTGACTTCAACTCGAAGATGACTTGAGACTGAAGCTGACCAAAAAGCAACCAGATTTTACAAAGTTGTGCAAAGAAAATCGTGCACATTTGTCACATTAAAATTAAATAACCTTATGTTATTTTCATTATTATTAGAATTGTATTTTAAAGGTAAAAAATGTAAAAAAAAGCTTATTCTATTTATCACTAGCTGTCTACCCACAGCTTTGCCCACATTATATCAAATTTTCTTGTGGGAGTAAGATATTTTCTCGCAGTAAAATGTAGCCTATGTCCATCTCCAACATGTAAGCTATCTCTGTGCCAAATTTTATTAAAGCCTGTTCAGCAGTTTAGACGTGAAAAGGTAACAAACAGACAGACAGAATTATCTTCGAATTTATAATATTAGTATGGATTAATATGAATTTCTGCTATAAGGGGTACGAGAGTTTGAGCTCTTTCTTGAAGTGATACACAGGAAAAACTAATTGGAAACCACTGGCTTAGAGTAATCAAAATTTTTGTTATGGTTACCATTATCTTCACATAAATAAGTCTTTTTAAACTTTTGTGTAATAGTTGTTGTATGATATGATGCCTGTGCAAGAAAAGATTACAGGCACAAGTACCTTATCAATTCTGTATAAATGCTTTATTTCATGGAAAGTTTTGAATATTTACTAATTTTTTCCAATGTTTGTTGTGGATGTCTGGAACAGCTATAACTATAATGTATGTGATTTTGTTTTCTTTCAATGAATGCATTGTCTGGTCTGTTGTGATGGATTGATTTTTCAATAAATCACCAAATGATCACCTTAATATCAGGCTATAATATGGCTAATTAAAGGATTAGTATAAAGTAATTTGACATTAGAGGTAGACGTTAGGTGCCATTTCTTAAGTAAATTAATAATTATAATTAAATAAATAAATTATTAAATAAATT